GTCCCCATTTTATAAGGGGTCCTCTGGTAATGCACCCTGAGGGAAGGGACATTGCTGTGTCATTCCTTTGTTGGGGGTGGGGTGGGGGGTCCTAGGGCACTGAGAACTTGAAGCTGCCCTCTGACCCCTGGGGGCTCGCCACGAATGATCAGAAGAAGAAGGGAAGAGGACAGGCAGGCCTACAAGTAACCGTCAGTCATTTCATGACAAGACACCCAGAAGGTCTGAGCTCCTGGAGAAACAGGAAATCTTTCGTACAAGCTGTGGATGACAGAACACACTGGCACCAAATTTCGAACCAGAAGCTCCAAGCCCAGGAGGGGTGAGTGGGCAGTTTCTGGGCTGATGACAGTAGTGAGACCGCAGATCCCAAACAACAAATCAAAGCAGAAGCAGAGCCCTAAGCGCAGAGGCCTGGGAGGCAGCGAGACAGAAGAGCAGCACTCCCGCAAAAGGGACAAACAAACGGAGCAGATGCAGACCCTCCGCACGAGAGGCGCCACGGAGGCCGGGGAAGCGGCACCGGGGCCTGGGACACACCCCGGCAGCAGGTGCCCGTTCTCCCAGGGTGGAGTTCCAGGGGACTTCACTTCTGCACAGCTTTGTCTGACTTTGTTTCTTTTTTCCCCAAGCAGCAAGGAAAAGCTCTGAGAGTAACCTAAAGCGACACGCAGGCAACCCGGCCAGGAGCACACGCCCATTACCTGCCTGCGCTCGCGGCGGGTCAGGCTGTGCCCATGCAGGACACGCCAGAGCATGCGCGCAGCGATCTTGGTGTCGATCCAGAGCAGGCGGAAGCCATGGTAGTAGTGCTTGAGCTCGTCCAGGACCCTCTGCCCCAGGGGCTTGCGCACGGCCGCCTCCACCGGGGGGCTGTACACCGGGCCTCCTTCCTCCAGCTTCTTGTTCTTGTCCTTCAAGGACCTGAGGGACTTCTCCACCATGGAGTCATCACCCAGCGGGGGTGACGAGTGCCAGCAGCGCAGGGGAAGGAGCCTCGGGCCCGTGACCACCGCACACAGGTGCTTGGGCCTCAGAGTCCAGCAGCCAGGGGGGTCGCCTCTGAGGGAAAGGTGCATGGGATGGGCCGGAATGCAGCTGCCAAATGGAGGATTCCTTGAAAAGGGACAAAAGAGGACAGTGATGAGGGGTCAGCCACCTGCAATGACCTCCCAGCAGCAACACAGACCTCAGCGGTATCACATCACACATTCGACTTCCCCAGCATAAGACAGACTCCCGCCCCTCCCTGATGCTGGAGAGACACATCCTGGGGAGCATCTCCATAGCCAGAGGTGATGAAGTGGCCCCACGGCTGAAAGCAGCTGGGCTGGCCAGTCCCTACAGCCTCTAAGGAGCAGGCCAGACACAACCACAACTGGCAAAAGCCTGACCCGCAGACAACACAGACCCAACCCGAGGGCGGGTCTCCCAGGCCGGCTCCCACAAACGGGTGCGATCTGAGGGGTGGGTTGTGGAGCACGGCGGTCCTCTCCTGTAACAGGCATCTTTCTACAAAGGCCTGCGGTTCCTGAACGAGTCCTGACGATCAAGGAGGGTATTCAAATCAACACCGATCCAGACCCACCCACCAGCTGACCAAAAGCGTAGGTGCAACGATCAAAACCCAGCGAGTCGAAGTCATCCCCACCACCTCCAGTCCACTCCCACACTGGCCTCCTCGCCCAGGCACCTTGCAGGCTCCCCGCCCGGAGCCCCTGCAGCCTGGACACCCTGCCAGTGCTGGCTCCACCCTGGGCTCACTCGGGCCGCTGACCTGCAAGGGTACCCAGCGCAAGCCACTCTCAAACCCTCCCCCTGGACCACGGGCTCCAGGGGGCTCAGTAGGGAATGGCGGGCCCTGCTCCAAACCAGCAGGAAGCTCAGAGCCCTCTCCGTCCACCGCTCTCAGGCCGACAGGGCTGCATGATCCCCCAGCAGCGAGACAAGGCCAGCCTGCTCCTCTGGGCCTCAAGCAGCTGAGTCTGCGCCCAGAACAGCCGCCCGAGGAGCACCGTTTGCTGCAGCCCGAGTTTCCAGAGCCTGGACCTCCCCAGCTCTCAGGGCCCAACCACCTGGCACAGCCCCGGCTTTGGGCGAAAAAGGGGTTCTCTTCCAGCAGTGGCACAGGGGTGGAAGGCCACGTACAATCCCACACTGGAACAACCCATCTCCACCACTCTCCTTCCATTTCACAATCTTCTAATCACCTCACCTGTCGCTTGAGAAGTCTCCCCCTGCTCATGCCTACGTCTTCCCCGGGGCGGCCAGAGGCTCCGCCTTCCTTCACAGGCATTGTTTCTAACAACACGCCCCAGCTTCTCCCCACCTGTCCAGCCACCTCCCTGCACATGGCCTGCTGCCAACAGCGAGGGCCTGACTGGAGCAGAGTGTCCCAGTGCAAACTTCACTGCTGACTGCTGTGTGACCTTGGACAAGCAACCTCTCTGTGCAGGGGGAGCCTCCTTTGTGGACGTGCGGGCTAATGTACGTGAAGCTCCCAGAACAACGCCTGGTGCACAGCAATGCCCACTACAGCACTGCCCTGTTAGAGCAGGAGACAAGAGCTGGTCTGGCTGGCGGAAAGCCAGGGCTCTCTCATTTAGCCACTCCTTCCAGACAGGGGCACTGAAGGACAAGCAAGGACGGCCCACCCTGGCTCTCGGCCTGTATGGGTGGCGACAGCAGGCAGAGGGCACCACCGCCCCGCTGACCTCTCTTCTGTCCAGCCCTTGCTTCTGCCTTCGAAGCAAGGCAGACAACACCCAAGTCAGGAAAGGAGGGTCCCTCAAACCCACCCCGTCCTGAGTCCCCACGGCCAGAGTATAGCAGAGCCACAGGCTCAGACCGCCACGTGCCACTTGCAGCTGCGAGACTCTGGCCACAAGCCGTGCCTTCCATGCCTCAGCCTGTGCTCAGAGCAGTGACGAAAGAGCCCTCCAGAGGGGGCCTCACCTCCTGCCATCCTCAAGCTCAATCACCCCATTTCCCACCCCAGTCACCAAGGAAACACGCAGCCTCCACAAGCAGCTGGGATGTCAGCAGCTACCAGGGCAGTGGTGGGCAGAGACCCAGAAAGCGGACTGAGCCGAGCTGCGCAGGGCGCATCCCACAAGGGCCTCCGAGGCCCGGGGACCTGGCTGTCCTCAGGCAAGTCAGAGATGACTGTTATCAGTGATCTAGCCACAGAGATTTAGCTGTTTTCAAAAAGCACAAAACTGCATATTTATTATTAAAAACCACCTTCAAAGTGGGTGGGGGTGTAACACGCAGGGCGAAAGCACAGCTCCGCAGGAAACACGTGGTCACGGGGACGGCATGGCTGGTTCACATTAAGCAGCTTGGGGCTTCTGTCAAAGTCGCCATGCCACTGACCCCAATGCCCACCCTAACCCGACATCTCACTGTCACCTTCACGAAGAGAAAACCTAGGCAATGCCTGGCAAAGGAGCAGTGTTTCCGCGTTCAGAGCGTTCCCCGTGCCCCATGTCAGCTGCACAACCACGGACTGTGGGTGCAGGAACCCGACCAGCTCTCCGCACTCTGTGAACAACACCCTCTAACTCGTGATGAGGCCCCCTTCCCAGGGGACAGCATGCCAAGACAGTGGCCTGAGTGGACGCCACCCCTCAGCATACCACCCTCAGTCCCTTGGGGACAGGACACCAGCAGCGGAAACAGGAAGGGAAGGCAGGACAGACGATGGAGCACGGGCACCATGACCCACGGGTGTCTGGAATCGCAGGATGCCTCCTGCCCAGAGACAAGGGGAAACCAGATCATCCACAGGACAAAGTGCCCCTCAGCAGGCGAGGCTGAAGACCGCTGCCCGCACACCTCAACGCCTCCTGCAGCCTCCAGGCCACCCGACAGCCGTGTGAGGGCAGCAAACCTCAGGAGCAGTGCCACTGAGGGAGACACATAACAGAACCAGCCTGGCAGCTCAGGGTCTCCCACTGAACAGGGCTCCACGCTTGCGGGGTTTCAGAGCTGCCGTTTCCCGGTTTGGCTGCTCATGCACAGTTGTGTGCTTCCTCTCTGCCTTTACTTCTATGACAAAGGAGGTCAAGGGTGGCCAGACAGCGTCCATGATGTTGTCCGGGTCAGAAGCTCTCTGCCTGCTCACCCTTCAGGGGTCTGGGCCATTTCAACTAAGACTGAGATTGCAAAATAACTGTTGTTAAAAAAAACTGATACAGATGATTACCACTTACAACTACTTACCTGTGTGACTCAACATTTCTTATACTGCACAATCAAAATAAAAAATAAAACTTCTCGGGTGCTGAGACTGATTCGGACTTCAGCTCTCCCCGTGATCTCTAGCGTGAAGTGCACGACGCCAGCGTGGCAGCTCTGCAGGTCTCACGGCCTTAACTTTCTAAATGACGTGTTTAACCCCCTAAAAATCATGATCTCATAAAATGCTGGAGTCTCTGATAACGCAGGGGGGACCACAGCTGCTCTGATGGCAAGTCCGGCCACTGAGACAGAAGCTGAGACCGCAACAGCAGCAAACGCACTGGGAAGGCAGAGCCACTAACTAAAGCCGTGATACAACACGGGCGAGAAAACCACCACCAAGCCATGCCACGTGGCCAGGCACAAGGAAACACACGCAGACCAGGACCCTCAATCACTATGTAGAAAAGACAATGAAGAACACACCACCAAATAGAACACACCCAGGAACTGTCTCAAAGGCTGCGCACGCAGTCTGCATAAGGAAACGACGTGCCTTGTTATAAGAAAACAACCTGCACGTGGAAAGACTGCACGAGATTTAAAAGCTAATATTCCCAAATGACATTATTCCAGTTACAATCCCCAAAGACCGTTTTCGAGTTGAAACAGTCCAGAAGTTCTTCTAGAAGGGCTGTCCAGAAAGGAGGCACATGAGGCCTGGTCCCTGTAAACGACAGGGGAAGAGGCCCAGCATGACAGACACCCCACGGCGGCCCTGGGTGGTCCATGCAGGTAAGTCCAGTCCACACAACAGTCCTAGAACCTGCCTCAGCAGTCAGTACTCCAAACCCAGACACTTCACACCAAAACCCAGACTTCCAGCCCCTCCTGAAACACCCTGAGAGCTGACCCTGTGGGACCACATCCTTCACAACAACCATGACTGCACCCCCAGGTCACTGGCCACCTGCTTCCAGATACCCACCGGGCCTCAGACCCCTGAAATGCCAGCACAGATTACAGAGTTCACTCAGAACTCTGAAATCTAGACAAGCACACCTCAGCAGGAGTGCTGTTCCACGCTCACACGCGAATGCCTCCACATCAGAGAAAGAGAGGCTTCATGGCAGCAGTCTGGTGACGATCAGAAGCCTGCTTAAAGGCAGAGCCCAGAGGGGTCTGGGAGCAAGCACCTGGCAGCGGGAGGGGGCCTGCAGGGGCTGCTCCTGGGAGGAACTTAAGACAAGACTTTGTCCCTGCCAAACGCTGCACACATGCCAGTTCCCCTCCATGAAGACACCTGCTCACGGGCGAAAAGCCTGTGCCTAGCTACTCATTTTAGCGCTTTATAAGAGCCAAAAAACTGAAAATACACTCACACACGATTTTGCTTTAAGAACTACCACATTTTCATGTATGGCTCATACAGCATTTGTTTTAGAGAATTACATCTGACCCAGGAAGCATCCTCCAGAAAAGTTTTATGGCCAAGACGAGGTGGCAAATCAACGATTTTGAATGAGTAAGAAAGCCCGAAAGAGTCCAGAGCTCCACGGACTAGGGGTTGTGATGGCCAGACATACAGCACTGGGGAAGGAGGTCCCACCCTCTCACCCAAGAAGAGTGAAGGACGTTGGGAGAGAGGAGCTCCATTCTAGGCACCTGGGACAGGTGAACATGGACCTGCTGCCAAGAGAGAGGTCCGGGTGCCCCACCACACAGGGGAGGGGGACGCAGGGAGAGCGAAGCTCAAGTCCTTGTGTGACAGTGGAAAGGGAATGTGGATGGCGCTCCCTCCAGGAAGGCCTCCAGCCTCTCAGCAGTACCACAGACCTCCCACCCACTCTAGATACATCCCCAAAACCAGGCAGGGCCAGCCCCGTGGCCAGCAAGCGATTCGAGTGGTACTCTGTGCAGGACGAGTGCAGTGTGAGGAAGGGTGTCTGCACGCTTGCTGATGGAGCCCAACACCCACAATGCCACCGGGCACGTCCAACATCTTCTTGCACAATACATGAAAAGCCACTGAAAATGGCAGCTGTGCAAGCGTGGAAAAGACAGCATTGTATGTAGACTGCAGTTACCACTGTGTGTCTTAAAAACAGATACATAAGAGGAAAAGACCAGAAAACCACACACCAAATCGCTAATAATATTTGTGTCAGGTACTAGGATTATGGATGTTTGCTTATTTTCCAAATATTCACTAATGTACATGGTTATGTATTTCTTCAAGAAGAAAAGATCAAGGTTTAAGAGAACAAAAACAAAGAACAGGAAAGTGGGACATACCCTCTCCCCCATCACCGGAGCATTTTCAAGCCCCCACCTTCAAACAGGCAGAACACAACGCTCATGTACTTACACGCAGCTTCCCCACTTCATGGAGCTGGCACAGCTGAGACAAGCACGGTCGCGCAGACTGCCTGCCACAAAACAAGGGAAAACGGAGAGTCAGTCTCACACGGGCACTTCACACTGGCACCGTCCTTCACAGTTGTACAGAGTGAGTTTCCAGAAGCTGTTCTGAGCGCTGCTAAGTGAAGGCCCTGCCCCTGCTGGAACGCAGTGTCTTGGAGGCATCTGGCTCTCCAGGGAGCCAGGGCCTTCAGTCTCCGCAGGTGGGGCCCCCGCCCCTCACTCCAGCTGCCTCTAGTGGGCAGAGGCCAGGTGCACGCGATCCCCAGTACAGACAGCCCCACAGAGCAAGCGGGGGCCCGGTCCAAATGAGCCAACACCCTCCCTGCCCACAGAGTCCCACATGAGGACTGTGAGAACGACCAGTAGAGCCAACACCAAGAGCAAGCTGCTTCCTGAATAAACAATATTGATGGGTGCACAGCACATCTGTTGGATTTTGATGTACTTTTGACACTTTAACTTTAGTTCCCAACCCCTCACTCCAGCTGAGGTGGGTCCGCCTTCCTTCTCTCCCAACAGAAGCCTCCCCCAGTTGGAGAACTTAACTCAGAAATGGCCCCCCCCAGCAACCAGACCAGCTGCCACAACTCCCAGAGCCCGAGCCCGCCCACCCACAATGCACCCTACCAGCCCCTTCCCACACTCCCCCCACTCTGAAGGCCCCCAGACTCTGCACCCCCTGCACACAGCGGGGTGGGCCACAGCCACTCCCTCCTTCCGGAGGCCCTCCTGTGGTCTCTTTTCCAGCCATGGCTCTCTCCAACTCTGACCCCTGCTGGGTCTTACCATTCAGTTTGGGCTCTAACCACCTAGCTAGTGCGGACCCACAGACGAAGGGCTTGGTCCCACAAGTCTGCCCGCCCTCACTTCAAGCGCCAGTTCCAGGTGGGGTCCCAGGCTACCCACACTTCTGCCAACCGCAAAATAGGTTTCCACGGCCTCTTCAGCTTTGATAACTTGCTGGAGTGGCTCACGGAGCTCGGGAGAGGGCTCTGTCTACTGCTGCGGGTTTCATATAGGACACAGAACAGCCGGGGGAGAGGCGCACAGGGCAACGGCCAGAAGAGCCCTCTCACAGGGCCTTACGCCCCACGGGACTGGCGTGGGCCGCCAGCCCAAGAGCTCCTTTCACCCTCGCCTGGGCAGGGTTGACGATCACATCCTTGGCCACTGGCAACAGAACTCAGTCTCCAGAGCCCCTCCCCTCCCATTACAGGTCCCTCCTTAGCATAAACTCTGGCGTGTGAGAAGGACTCACTATGAAAAACAAGAGATATTCTCATCACTCTAGAAACTCCCAGGGCGCTAGCTCTGCCAGGAACTCAGGATGGGAAGGCAGAGGCTTCTCACTCTTCCCATCCCACACCTTCCTTCACCTGGCTTCCAGGAAACTGCACTCTGGGTTCTCCCGACTCGGCCTCACTGGCAGGAGCCTCTCCAGGCACTTGGAACCTGACTTCCTGTGTACGCAAAAACTCCGGGCTTCTCCAGGCCTACTCCTGCCCAGCGCTCCCTGGTTTCAACATGGCTGGAGGTCAGCCCCTAGCCTCTCATAACCAGTCCCTGATAAATCTGGTCTCCCACCTCTACAGGTCCTAGCCCACTCCCAAATACATGCCACACAGAGCAATTGCCTCCCAGAGAGCACAGTGTGCAAAGGGGGTGAGTAACCCTAGACCAGAAGAGACCGACGGACACCTCCTCAGGCCGACGACCACAGTCAGCAAGGACCAGGTAAGCCCCACTGCTGGCTGTGCTGGGGACACTACTACAGCCCTGCGACCTTACTGCCCCAAACCCTTAGCCCCAGACTAGCCATGAGCAAAAGACCAGACAAATCGCAAAAGACGGCCGCCCTACAATATATCTGACCAGCCACCCCAAAACCGTCAGGGAAAGTCTAAGAAACTGTCCCAACCAAGAGAACGCTGAAAAGAAGTGGTGACTAATGTAACGTGGTGTCCTGGACAGGGTCGTGGGACCAAAAAAAAGGACATCAGAACAAAGTATGTGCAGAATAAGGGAAGCCTGAATGCATTGTGGACCTCAATTATTAACGCATTAGTGTTGGTTTACTAATCGTAACAAAGACCCATACTGACGGAGAACATTAACAGTGGAGGAATGTCTCCAGCAGAGGGCTGCCACCCCCAGGTGAGAACATCACATCTGCGGGTTCAGGGACTGGCTCACCACTATCCAGCCCTGGGTCCTGCAGGCTCTGGATGCCCTGTAGGTCCATGGCAACTGGCTGGCTGAACAGTGTCTGTGTAAAGAGCAACAGTGAAACATATGTGTTGCTGGAATGTTACAAGCACAGAACAAATTCCACTAACTTGTAAACATGCTACAGAAAGGTCTGCGGCCAAAGTATGTTTATCACTATCCTTAAGAGGCAAGGGAGACAAAGAGCTCCGACAGTAGAGGGAAGACAAGCACTAAAAGCTGGAATGGGTACTACACTGTTCATACAGTGAGTTCCTGCTGCTCCACGCCCTTCTCTGGGCTCCAAAGGTCTTAGCAGCTCATCAGCCATTACTGTTACAAATGACAAAAACCATGTTTTTTGGGGTGCCTTTATAAACTGTAAAGCCCCTTGAAATATATAATTTTACTTGAGAATCTCACTCTTACAGGGCAATTTTTATTTCTACCCCGACTTTACGAATAAGTAACTCAGAAAGGTCAATGTACAAAGAGATGGTGAGGGTCAGTGCAGGCCCCCTACACGTGGGCCCCTAAGTGCCCGGAGTGAGGTGTGTTCCCCCGTCACAGCCAGGGTCTCCAAGGCTCCTGAGGCCATGCACAGCAAGGCCCGGAGACCGTCCACAGATGCCCAATAACACCAGAAAGATGTCGCTCCCAGGGACGTCCCTACAAGCCCGCAGGTTCTGGTCGCCGGGGTCTGCCGGCCCCGCCATGCCTCCCCATCTCAGGAGCCCTGAACGTGGCCCGAGGCACCACTGTCCTGGTGAGTAGGCGCCCAGTTCCACGGGACTTGACCGTCTTAGGGCTGGCTGTCAGTGCGCCCCCTTCTAAACTTTCCTAATCCCGCTCACGACGCAGCGGCCAGCGGCCGGGCGACTAAGGTCACAGCGCGAGTGAGTCACAGGCTGCCCCGCGCGTCGGCACCACGGCCCGGGCGCTCACCACACCCAGACACGCCGGCCAGGGCGGCGCCGAGGGGCACGGCGGGGCAAGGTCCCTGCCGGCGTGACCCTAGCTCCGGGCCGCGACCCACGCACCCGGGAGCCGCCCGACCTGGGGGCGCCAGCGGGCGGGGCGCAGACGGCCCCGAGGCCCTCTCTGGACCGCCCGTCTGGGCCCCAGCCCCGGTCCTCCCGCCGCCCCGGCACCGCGCCGTCGACCGAGCGCCGGCCGCTTACCCCTCGGGGCGGCGGCGCGGGGCGGCGGGAGGCGG